GGGGGGGGAAATCAAAAAGTAAACCACTTTTGCTTGCTTAAGGGAAAGGCAAATTTCAAAACTTGATTTTTAGGCTTTTTACAACAAATTCTTGCAAATTTGTTAATGGTTAATAATATATCATTATTATATTAATTTATGTTTAAAATAATTACAGATATTGATATTCCTTGGAAGGAATTTAAAAAGTTTAATCAGTGAGTGAATAACCTGTGAGTTTCTTGGGTTCTTTCCAAGGAAACAAACAATTAAGAAACCTGTATTTTTTATGACTTATAATGACTCAGCTGAATATTGAGTCATTATAAGCATTGGTCTGTGAGTAGAATTTTACTCTGGCTTCAGGTTAGTTTTTAGACTTGCTGCTTCTTCAACTTTACGCTATTTTGGAATGAGGCTAGAGCCTAAAGCTTTTCTGCAATGGCAACAACCACTTTCAAATGTGCTAGTAGTTTAAATACACTGTGTAAGTAAAGGTTATGTGAAGGCTGATTAATTTTCTTTTTTTTTCTTTCTGGTTTTAGTGGGAACTGCAGCCCCTGATCAGGTAAAATATGATGTGATTTATCTAAGAATTAGAATGTAGACTATGTATTCAAGGTGTAATACAATAACTCTGAAAAGGATTTAGGATTTATGAGGAACAAACAACTCACTGTGGACTTACAGTGCAAACCCTGAGGCAAAAAGAGCTCGTTGTTATTATATACAACAACAGGCAGGTAGTGAGGTACTGAAAGGGATTACTTTAGCCTCTCTTTAGGGCATTGTTGGATGGTCTGTATTGTTCTATCCCATTCTAGAGAGCCTGTACTTTAAAGAGGATATTGAAAAATACAGACAGTATGAAGGGGAGCCACAGATACTGACAGAGAAAAGAATTTCAGCGAAACAGTATGAAGCTTTGAGAAGTGCTCCAACCCTGCAGGTGTTCAAGGCCAGGCTGGACAGAGCCTTGGGCAACATAGTTTAGTGTGTGGTGTCCCTGCTCATGGCAGGGGGGTTGGAACTAGATGATCTTAAGGTCCTTTCCAACCCAAACTATTCTATGATTCTATGATTTGTGACACCTTGTATTAACACCTAAGTTAGTTTCCTAGTTTTCTTAGGGTTGCTGTGTATTCAGAGGAGAAGAGCAGGTGTGTAGCTGTGCTAAGAAATTCCCCATTCTGGGGATTGCAGGTTCTCTATGCTGAAGATAATGGCATTTGTTAGGAATAACTGCAGCTGTACTTCGTTTCATTTTCCTAAAGACTTAGAAGCATCTAACACTGTTATGAAAATAAGATGATCACTGCAATAGGTAAGAGAGAACCTTTCACAGTGGTAAAGATTTAAGAGACTTATGTGATTGTACACTTTCGTGTGATGTTGAACTGCAATTAAGTACTATTTGTAAGCAATTAAAGAGCAGAAGAGGGGAGAACTATGGAGGGACAAAGCCATAGATACATTAGAAGCTCCATGAAATGGCTGCTTCAAATTAAATCAATGTTAAATTGTATGCCATTGTGTAACTACAGTATTCTGTGTTCTTTCAGGCTTAAATTGGTGGTAATTAATGATCTGCTATTAGGAGCCACTCATGTGAGAATGTTAGCAGTTTCTCGAGCCAGGAGTTTGTGGGTTGTTATGATAGCTGAATTGAGAGAATGTTTTCAGAATGTAGCTTTTTAATCATTCTTTTAGGAATTAGCTTCCCTTGATCAAGAAAAGCAGCCTGATCTAGAGCGTGGGCAGCCTCAGCTTTCTCCTGGAATTTCAACAATTAACCTTCATCCACAGTTTCCAGGTAACTTGTTTTGACTTGTCTTTTAGTATGAAAGAGTGTTT